TTCTCAAAAAAAAAAAAAAAATATATAAAAGGAAAATAATTATGTCGGATAGCTTATTTTCACTACCATGTTCACGCTGACATTATGAGCACCTTCAAGAGAAACGAGGTGGAAAGTAGTATGGCCATATGTTTTCGGTAAGTTAGAAATATTGTTGTTTCTGTCTTAGACTCTTTCTGTTGACAGAGAAAAGGAGGTTACAGTGAGGATGATGAATTAGAATTTTCTCTCTTTGATGAAGATAACGGTACCGACTATCACCAGAAAAGTTCCAGTGCTACCCATACAAAACACAATGCTGGAATGCTCTACTTACCAACAATGGCTTCAATCTCACATTCTGATGAAGAGATTATTTCTGATGATGAGGTATGGCAGTAGAATGTTTCATGTCCTCTCTTCTTGCCTTTCTTGTAAGAAGTCTTATAGTAGAAGAAGTCTCCCAGAGTTGTCATAACTTTAGTGACAGAGAACTGTGTTCTTAATGGGAAGTTCAAATGAATCCAGAAAATTGATCATCCGACTATTGGAAATGCAAGAGGGATTGTGGACTGCACATGGTCCGAAGCAAGCCGAGAAGTGGAGGCATTAGTTTGCTTAAATGACAATTCTAGCCGCCATCCATCCCATGGTGCCTTTGTGAAAGAGAGGAAGTCCTCTAAAGGTATTAGGCATCTTTTTATAACATCATACACTTGGAGTCTTTGATTTGATCAGCGTTTTACTCATGTAAGGTTATGGGTTCAGCTGATATTTAATGCACCTAAAGTAAAAAAAAAAAAATTGCAGGTGGAGAGGGAAGGAATACAGCCAAGCCCAAATTTGTATTCCTTCACGATTCACGTAAGGAAGACGTATCTATGGTTATTAGTGATAGGCATGGAATATCATCCGAGAACAGCCCAACACCAGATGAAATTAATGCTGCAGCTGATGAAGACACGGATGAACTTATGTCTGATTGTCATCCGATTTATCATGATAAAGAATCTCAAGACTCAGAAAACCGTTGTGTCCCCTATGAACAGGCCCAAAAGAATGATTTCAAAGGGCTTTCGATGGCTGAGTTTCTATACAGCTTTGACAAGAGCAGCAACAAGCTGCAAGGAAGGATAGAACATGTTGCTATCTTTTTCTTGTACTTTTTTCTTTAGTTCTGCTTTGTTATATTTTCTAATTTCGTAAATTTCAGGATATTGAGAAAGAACAAAGAAGAATGCAGATGATTGTTAAAAGAAATACATCTGAACAGGGTGATACGAATCAGGCTGAGGATGACCCACTAGAGTCTTTGGATAGTGGATCTCTCATTTGTAGCGATGATGAGGTACTTCCTAGAAAATGTTCTTTCAAAATTCTCATCGTGATCATTTAGGGCTTGTTTGTATACAAATATATCTGGTCAAAATAAGTTTTTTTGGTTCCTTTAACCTTTAAAAAGAGGATCAATAGTGGTGCCCCACTTTACCCCCTTGGGTGACTCGAACTCGGAATCTATTGGTCCCAAGTGAAGGGTGCTACCAACTGAACAACCCTTTCTCGTCAATTGAGTTATTTTGGTTAACTATTTAATTTTGAAAAAAGTTGTATGGTTAGTTGTTAGTGGGATTTTGACTTTATATTAAAATAATATGTAAAATAAAATAATTAAAGTTGATTTGACGTAAAAGTAGGAGAGAGATGATGTGAAATAATAGTTAAAATTATATGAGTTGATGAATAGTAAATTAAAGTTGATGCGATGTGTAAGAATGATTGGTTGGTATTATTTAATTATATTCATTGTATTGAGGATAGTGAAATTGAGTTAAAATTGAGTTAGATTTTGAGTACGAATTGAGTATGGATTGAGTTTTTTATATACAAACGCACCCTTAATGTATGTTATTATTTGCCTCTTGAGTGTCAAACTGATTGCTTCAGGAGAACCACCAACAAAGTCTACAGTTGGTTGTCCCTAGGACCATGACCGATCAGTTTCATGAAGCTTTTGGAATGGTTTCTGCAATTGATGAGGGGCCACAAGTAACTTTTCCGAGGCCATTGTGGTGCGTACGAATTAGTCTTGATAGTATAGTGAGAGAGATAATATAATGCAGCTCCTTTAGTCAGGTATATCTTTTTTCATTTCTCTTACTTATTGTGACTGCCGTAGTGGAATGCATGGGAAGTTGCAGCAAGTAATGCAGCATGAGAAACAAGTTTACTTGAAGAATCTAAGTGGAGAAACTGATTTTAATGGTAAACCAAACCTAGTACCGTCTAACCGTTAGTTGATCTAACTGTCCATGGGTTTTCATTCTTAATTTTCTATTTTATTTCAGATGAAAAAATGTGCATTTCTGTGAGGATTCTGACAAGGTCTCTGGAAGCAAAGCTGATTGTTTGTTCTTGCGCTCTTGTTGAAGACACAAAGGTTTGCTCGTTACTAATGTCAAATCAAAATTCTCTGTAGCATGACAAGACAGCTTTAACAACTGCATTTGCTGGAATCACTTTTAAAAATTCTATTATTATATTCTCTTTAGAGAGATCTTCAGAGAGCTTCTCTGAGAAATTCTTTAGTTGTCAGCATATTTCTTAGATTCCTTTCTCTTTCTATCTGGTTAAGACATAAATCCTGGGGCAAAAGATGGAATGAAAATGACAGAATGCTAAGTGATAATTTGTGTTGCTTGCTCAGAGCTCATATTGGGAGAGTAATGTAGAACTTAAAGTGAAAGGCAAACAAAAGACATTGACTATCATCTTCAACCCGAGGGTTTGTAAGGATGTTGAGCTTGAAGTCGGCAACTTGATCAGCATACGTCCGCCATGGTATGAGTTTCAGAAGCTCTTACACTCAACTTGAAACTACAAGTGGCTTAGACAGAGTGGCCAGCTTTAACAAAAAATTGAAATCGCCCGTATATTTTTCTTCATCAGTTCAACTGAAGTTGCTGAATAAATGTTCTTACTGTCAATTCTGTTAATCACTTAATCTGGAAGCAAAGAGGATCAAAACTTTAACCAACTTCAATTATATTTAGGTACTTGAGTGTCAAGGAACAAATAGATTTATTCTTGCGAACCTTATCATGTATCTTTATATATATATCCTTTTGACTTTTAAATTATAAGTTATTGGGAAAGTTATCTGTCTTCTAACATTGGACATATACATATAAACCTCATCCACACATGACATATTCATTCATGTATATAATCTGGGGTGTTCTTTTGCAATTCTCTAAAGCAAATCTATGAACATGGCACAAGGCTTCAACCAAAAACCTTGTCTACATATATGTCATGATTCTACTCACAATGTGGGATTAGTTATACCACCGTGTTTCTTGTTATTGTTAAAACAGTGATTGTGATGATGCTATTTATGCTTTTTCGTTAAGAATGCACTCCCAGCATATTGGTGTGTTCTGAAACAGGACGGAAGTGCCGGTGAAGGAGAAAGATGAGGTGATCTATTTATGCTTGTATTTTACACAGATTAATCCATGAACAGTCTGTATTGAAAGGTATTTATTTAAAATTTATTGGAACTCCAGTTCTACTCATGTTGTGGATATTACAAGCACATATATGTGCATTTTATTGTTTGGGTAATGTACCATTTGTTTT